AAGGAAAAGACAGATATTTATGTTTGTTCCTCCTCAGAACTTCTCACGAATAAAAAATTACATATGGAAGTCATTTCGAACTTATTTGGAGAAGCATATTAACATTAATATCAAGTTATATTGAATTCATCAATTACTGGATTTATCGCCAAAAATAATAATAATAAACTTCCTTTTTCTCAGTAGTTTCTAACATGGCATTAGTTGCACTAGATACATTAATGTTTCACATAAAACTGACTTTATACTAATACAGTTGATACCTCTCTTGGGACTGAAAAAAAAAAAGTGTAATTGTAAAAAAGTTATATGACGCGATTTTTCTTTAATATATTTTAAGTAATGTTGGTTTCTAAAACTAGAGTTCCGCAACTGTGCGAAAGTCAAAAGGTTTCTTTATAAGTCGAAACTAGTTTTGACTTTTTACTTTTTTTTTTTTTGATTTTAGTTTTGATATGTAACGTTTAATTTGAGTTTTGACTTTCGCCTCTTCAAAATAATTTTGACTAATTTTAAGTAACTCGCCTTACAGAAAATGGACGTCAAAACTCATCACAAGAAACACCATCCAGTAGTGAAGGTAAAGATAAGAGGAGAAAGGTACAATATGTTATAAAATCAATAATGCTTCTGTATATAAGTACCTGATAAAATCACTATTTCAGATATTATCAATGGTTATTTCATTAATGGCTGGTAATTCCTATAATTGTATCCGATTTTGGTAAAGTTTTTCGCTGAAAGCTATATAGCTATATATATGAAAATTTTTCAAAATAAAAAAAGTATTAGTATATACCAGGGTTGGCAAATTGACTGGTCCATTGAGAACAAATGGATTTTGGACTGGTCCATTGCCATTTAATACAATACTAAATATGGTTAAAGTGTTACACTAATGGACCCAATGGACCACCAATAAACCATCAATGGGCCGCACATTTGCCAGCCCTGGTATATACAATCCACTCTCTTTATAACGGTTCTTTTTCCCAGATTCTTTTCTACAACGGTTATTTTTCTAATCCCAATGAGAGAGTGAACTGTAGGCTTATCAAGCAAGAGTCAAATTTTGTAGAAAATTTTGTGATCTTTTCCTTTTAAGTTAAATTTTCTAAAGACTCGTAGGGGGAACTTTTGTCAATAATTTTGACTAATCCAGTATACATTCTAAAGTCCATTACACACAGTAAATCTCGGTTTAACAGATAGTTTGGGTGATTTAGAAAAATTTTCTAGAAATCCTCTATATCGAGAAAACTGTTATAGAAGAATTTATTATAATTCATTATTAGATTCAATCTGTTAAATCAAGATTTTTAATTTGTATGCCATTAAATTGGGGCATGCTAAATCGAGATTCACTGTGTATCTTTATTAAACGAATTAAATGTATTACTTTATATAAAACCAAATCTAAAATTTATTTCTGAATAAGCAATGATATTATATTGAGATTTAAAATCATTGATTTTGGTTTAGAACATCCTATTAAAGATTTTCCGAAATGGCTTGTCTCTTACCTGTAAAAATTTACAGCGATAGAAATTGTTTAATGAATCCCATGTCATATATTCTCATGAGACTGAAAAATATTCCACTCATTTTCAATTTGCAGTTTAGTTTTGTTGGAAATGATAATTAATTATGATTTTTATTTGTCAAAAAATTTTGAACGAGATATTTCGGCATTTCAGATATAATTCGGGATACAACTAGAAATTCAAAATATTTCAGAATCAAAAAAATTGTTACGGCCAATAACTTTAGCTCCATCTTCCAATAAAGACCAGTTTCATCACAATTATATTCTCCAAGAATATTTTTTGGTTCTTTCTCATCCGGGAAACTTGTTCAATTGGTGCGCTTAGAGACTTTCCATGTCTATTGAATTCTTAATTGAATATCTTTCTTGAATTTATCAAGTCAGCCTGTTGATGTTTTAAAAGCACCATTATTCAATAATTCAGCAAAATTTAAAACCTTTTGTTGAACAACAGCAACTGTAATTGTTACATTGCATTCAGATGATTTTTGGGACCATGAAATTAAAGCATCTTCAACATTCATGACAGAAGAAAGACGTAGTCTTTTTGATTTTGCTTGATATGAATTTGGTTCAATTTATCAGACTCTTCCAATATATCATTAATTTAATTTCTTTTTAATTGCGTAGGATTCCAAGAATTCAACAAAAGAAAATTTTATCATTATTTGATGATTTATTGTTTGTGTTACTTTTATTTTAATTAAGTTAATTGTTCGCATTCATCTTTGGAAATTTTGATAATAAAAAGTTTTTTTTTTTTTTTTTGAAAATTGGTTTTTTTAAATTTATATCACTTGAATTCGTTGTAACGGTTAGTACTTACTAGCAGCTATTACCATCTACTATTGTGGAAACAAAAATTCGCGAACCCTCGTGTCTTTTATTTCGGTGTGTTACATATTTCGTTCTTGCATTTCATCAAATTTGTCATTATGGCTGAAGTTGCTGTCTCTTATCAATTTTAATGATACATGACGAAATTTTGACTTTAGTCATTGACGTGACGAAAGTACCGACTAAAGGTAGTTTTTCACCAAAATGCCATTTTGACGATTTAACGAAAGTAAAAAGTTGAAATCCTTTTTTTTGTTTTATAATAAAATATAAAAGATACCCTTAATTATATAAAATATTTTGATTAAAATTATTTTGAATTGAATCTATAAAAACAACTGCAATAATGTAATAATAATAAACTATTATAATAACAACCATAAACCATTCAATCACTATCACTGTGCTAGAAACTTCCGCCTCCTTTTACATCAAGTAGTAAATTCGTGAAATAATATTGCTTAAGGCAAGAAGAATTAGTTTTAAAAAAATGTTAGATCCACAAAATAAATGATTTGGTAAGCCTCAAATGTGTAAATCCATTTTGCTAAAAAAACAAAGAATATTACTCTGCACAATCCAAGTATTGTAGAAAAAAGTTTAACCATGGACAACCGCAAAAACTTTTATCACATTTGACAAATCATTGTTCTCATGAAACGTCGAAATTTTAGAATCACCATTAACTCAACAATCAATTTCATGATTCTATTAACTGGACATTAATCAAAGTATTGTTTGCTGCGGAATTTCTTTTCAGTTGCCAGGAATCCATACCTTATAGATCTTCTTCAACAACTCCATCCTGCATATAAACCACCACCATCCAGGAGTGTGTTATCTGGAAAGTTCCTTGATACATAAATACTTAATACTAATGTTTTTAAATGGAAGTGGAAGTCTATGGATTGAAAATAATTACAATCCCGAAAACAGAGTTAATCATTATTTAGAAAGCGAAGATTGTAATTTAAAGGATGGAATAATGATGTGAAGATTGAAAAGAATGTTAACATAACTAATGATAATTGCAATTTAACCAATATATCAAAAAAGTCAAAGCTTATATTAAAACAACATAATTTTTTACATTGAAGAAATGTTGATAATGAAGTTGTAAAAAATAAATGACAGAAATCTTAATAATTTGTAGTTGATAACATAAAAATTAAATCTGTTTTTTGCTTATTTTGCCAATGAGTTCAATGATTCTGATTCTCGTCAAGGGTTTAGTCTTTCATCATTTTTTAGTGCATTTGACGAAATAGTTTCTCAATTCCAAAACATTTCGTCATACAACAGTTCATGTTCTTGTTTTACAAAGCATAGTAATGATAATAATACTTGTCAAACTTGTAATCACGAAGAAACCTTTCATCAAATGATCATTCAATTTATTCTAATTTAAAAAGTAACATTCACCTTTAACTATGTTGTATGTGAAATTGAAATATTATGGAGTGGGGTGAAATTCTGATTGGCTAATTTGAATTTCACATAATCTCATTTTCACGTACAACAACTATACAAACTCACCTACACATTCTTTTAATCATCCATTTGAGACAAATAACAAAAGTGCTTATATAATTATACTAAAAAACTATTACATTTTTGGAAACTTCTAGTTTTGGCCTACCACCTGATAATTGTAGACTTACCAAAAAAAAATCTCAGATCCTGTTTGGTCAATTAGTAAAGATATTTATCATTAATCGCTCATATGTCTGCTGTGACAAATTTACCTTGTACTTGTGAATTGAATGGGACGGAAAACTTCAAATTCTTTCAATATTAATCAGTTGGTTTTTTAAATAATCTGAATCATCAGATTCAATCAAGGCTCTATTTGCTCTCATCAAGGTGTTTTAAATGTGTTCAATTACTTGGCTATGCACTTGAAAATTATCCATTTATTAACTAACTTTAAAACAGGTTTTATTTTTATTTTTTATAAAAATTTATCTTTATATCAAAATTTAAAACAATAATAATATGTACTGTAAAGCATCTTACGTATGTATATTACACTTAATTTCACTGAGAAATTGATACGGTTTTTGAATTTTTTGGCTTGCCTAGAGATGTGCCATTCATAGTAATCCTGATTTTTTTTTCGCGCACAGTGTGCATAGTGCACATAATGTATATAGTGTATTAGTGTATTGTCCCTTAAACGGTTGTTCGGCTATTGATAGCCGAAATTTTTTTTCTGTTATAAAAAACTTTTTCTGAAGGTATCACTTCCTAATACGAAAAATGATCTTTGAGATTCAGCTGTTTGATATGTGAATAAAAATTCGGTTGTTGTCCTTGTGGTTTTCGTAAAATCTTCCTTAAAAGTTGGTCGATTGACTGTTTTTACTTTGCAGATCGTTAAATTGGCCAATAAGAATGCAAGATCAAAAAATTACTACTAAAGAATACTTTGACCATTTAAGGGATAATGTTGGAGTTCAACAATCATATCTAATTTTGTTGAACTATTTCCAAATAAAATGTACTCGGGGTGGATTTTCGTCTCTTTCTTGCATTTGTTTGATTCAGAGATTTTTTCAATCCTAAAATATTTGATAAAATTTGAAAACATGATAAAATTTTCACAAACATTTAACCTCTACAAATGACTCAAAAATAATAACCCAAAGACTTCAAACATGTTGCCAAATTCCTCAAGTAAATCGGTCATCAAAGAAAGTATTATTATTGAGGTGTAGTCTCTTTCGCGTAAAGGCATTGACAAATGATTAATTTCACATCGAAAATTCATATGACTATAGAAAAAAAATACCATAGACAACCATTAGCATTATTCTTAAGGTAAAATCAACACATAATACAAATCTTACAAAAAATCTAGGATCAATGAGGTCAAAACTGCATCTTCAGAGTCTACAATTTGTGCTAGCTTAGACTTTAACTCTTCTAAATTTTTTAAATTTTTCTATAACATAGACAATATTAGTCAACTTTTATGATAATATAACTTCTGTAAACATGAGAGTTACTTGTACCAGTACTAGCCCATTATCATTTATAATTTTTAATACATTGTTATCTATCAAATTTTTTAATATTTTTTTCCAAAAAGTGCGAGTCAGCATATCTCTGTCCTCAGCAGAGTTGGCAAATGTGTGGTCCATTGATGGTCTATTGGTGGTCCATTGGGT